GTGTCCAATTTAAGGGTATTACACAGAAACACACCACAATAACATGAATCAAATATGTACTTTATTCATTTACAATAAATGTCATAATGTACATCATGATAATTGGAGCTAAGGGCATACACTGTCTAACATTGGATCCTTTAGCCAGCCCACTACTAGTTTTGAATCCCCTTCAATCACCGAACTTCTCACATTCAATTCATTAGCAATCTTTATTCCTTGAGCATCTCCACCCTAATAGAGATTAGAGACCCCTACTCCCACTGCCCTAAGAATAATGCTTTCATAAGTCCATCTCTCAACAGTCAACAACCCCTCTAATTCCAGAAGGACCCAACCCAACTCACCCAAGTTACCTTGACTTCTCCCATCAAAGTTCAATTTTATAAATCCTTTAGGAGCATCCACACCAATTTTACCCTTTCCTTCTTAGATGAACTACTCACCACCACATACTAATTTGTCCAAACATCGTCAAATGAGAAAGGATAAAATATATTCATAGACTTGATGTATTGTATTACTCTACTCATCACACATTCTTCCACCACTTCCATACTTCACTCCTCCAAGAATATCCTTGCATTCCTTTCTTCAGAAATGGTCCAAATTAGTGCTGCTTTCATACACTTCCACATGATTCTTCCCCTTTTCTTGGGCCAAGCATATATAGCCAAATTAAAGAGCATACTTACCTCCGTTGGCAAATTCCACCTGCACCCAAACAAAGAGAAAAGCCAATCCCAAATATTTGCAGCAAATGGGCATGAGACTAGTAAGTGGTAACAACTCTCCCCATTAGATTTACAAAGAATATATTAGTTTGAGGAAATGCACAAGAAAGGCGGTCTTCATTTGTAAATTACCCATTGTATTTATCTTTTTTTTATCAATATCCATTGTATTTATCTTCCCATAGTACACTTCCGAGAAAAGAAAAAAGAAAAATTCTATTTAGGGGAAATGGACTTGCACCAAATTTCAATGGATGGGTAAACCTGAGGGTTGCTAGACTGAACAAGAAACTTGAAAAGGATACACAAGTGAAGAAACCTTTGAGAAGCAATGTCCAAACTCATCTATCCAAATTGGAAAGATCCAAACAAACTTTTTCAAGGGTGTGCAACAATCTCACTACGGAGTGAAACTCATCATCTCTTAACCCTCTTCAAAAACCAAAGTCCCAATTAGGTCCTGAAGGAAACAAAGGAAATGTAAGGATTTTGAAATAGACTCCTTTTTTAACATAAAAATGGTATACAAAGAGGGAAACAAGTCCTTAAGAAGGACATTACCAATCCAAGCATCTTCCCAAAACTTAACATGGTTCCCTGAACAAAAATCATACCTGACCAATCTGAGGAATTGATGAAGGATCTCATGAATGGCCTCCCACAGTGATCAACCACAACATTTTCATGTAATTTTCTTAAGTCCATCATGGATGTTGAGGATCCAAAATATTAAGCTTCAACTGACTAATAACAGTATAACCCAATTTACTACATTCACCAATATCAATTCTCAAAGAATTAGCCCATTCTAGATGGTTTGTACCACCTAGTTTAACTATAACTGCCCTAGGTGTTACCAGCACCTCCTAGCTTAACTCCATTATGAAATATGCAAAAATATAGAATGATAATGAAACAATAAAAAAAAAACATAGGTAAACATTTTTAAATTATTATCTTGTACCAAATTATTATATATAGCTAAGAAACTAAGGTTATACACAAAAATAATATGTTGTCATCATGCCTTGTAAACCTAAGAGTCAAAATTGCAWAATAGAATGAGTTCAAGAAAAATTTAAATTCATAAAAAATGCAAATGATTCTAATATATCAACCAAATTACACAAGCCTCATATTTGAAAAGAATATTGAACCGGCTCAAAGCGGTAATTATGTCCGTTAGGAGGGCAAAGTTTCATGCCAGTACCCATCAAAATGGAAATATCTCATGGAAATATTAGGAAATTTATGGGCATTTTAAACCATGTAGTAGGTGGGCTATGGCCCCACCAAAGTACTTCTTATGTGGAAGGAATGGTAGGATACAGCCCCTATCCTAATAGAGTGGCCTCCCAAATCATGAATCCTGGCTCCACCTGTGACTACCTAGAAAAGAGAGGTGTRTACACCACATTTTAGTAGTGTTTGGTAATTGATGAAATAAAGACATTTTTCTATGAAATACAGACATTGTTCTACAAAAAAGAAGAAAAAATTAACCCACTAAAGTTTCATTTGGCTTTTGAATAACATATGGCTCAATTCTCAAACCCTTTATTTAAAACTATTTTTTAAAACAAAAAAAAAAGACAAACTAGAAAATCTCATCATGGACAAAGTTATTCCTTTTGCAAGAGTTCGCAAGAAATGGTTCTTGGGATGAAATTTCTGATTTCAAGGGCAATCCCAAACAACTACTATAAATCAACCACTTCAAAAAAGTCACTAATCGTACCTCATATTCTGTATCGTTGCCGAATATTCATCTGGATTCTTTGTTATCTTGCACCACCCATGTTTTTCTAGTGAAGAATATGTTATCTCTGAGCATACTACAACTTCACTATACCTTATCTCAACATCTGGGTACCTTGAGTCTGATGGTACTGCAACAAACCAAACAAAATCCAAAAAGATATGAATATCTTGTTTACAAAAACAATAGAAGCGATTTTCATTTATCAAAAAAAAAAAAAAGAACAGAAGTGAGTTCCAACCATTTCCCTAGCCATCATATTCTCACAACTCCTCAAATCAATCAAAATTAAATATTTCTTACCATAAGCAGGGCAAAAAGTATGGAAAATATTACTATAAGACTGGTTATCTTCCTTGCTTTTAGGATCTATTAAAAAAATGGTGAAGTAGTGAACAGAAATGGAAAATTAATTTAAGTTAAAATGACAAATATTTCTAACAAGCTAGAGTTGTATGATATATATGCTCCAACCATTGATTTAAAAGGCGCGCCTCAAGCATGCCTACGCACACAGGCGACGAGCATTGTAGGGTATGCACCTTGCCTAGGTCCCAGGTGCAGCACTTTCAAAAGGTTCGAAGTCTGAGAAGAGAAGAAGGGTTCGGCCAATAGAGGAAAAGTCCCTCTCTCTAGTTGATCCACTTTGTATTTATACTGAATAAGTTGAGTTACAAAAAAATAGTATTGTCCCTTACAAGTGATGGGACACATAACTTAAACTTGAATAAAACAGACCTTTCACTTCTAACTAAATAAACCAAAAGACCAAAATACCCCTGTACTGTCGACTCTAACACTCCCCCTTAAGCTGGAGAGTATATGTCATATAGTCCCAACTTGTCACATATGTAATCTACTCTACCCCGAGACAGCCCCTTTGTAAAGAGATCTGCCCACTGGTTTCCTGAGCTCACATGAGATGTAGTTATCACTCTACTAATCACTTTTTCTCTTACAAAGTGGCAATCGACTTCAATATGCTTTGTTCTCTCATGGAAGACTGGATTAGAAGAGATGTGTACAGCAACTTGATTATCACAGTATAACCTCATGGGTCTGTCAATTGAGAACCCCATCTCTTGTAACAAATTCTTTAACCATACTAGTTCACATGTAGTATGAGCCATAGCCCTGTACTCAGCTTCTGCACTGCTCCTTGCCACCGTTGTTTGTTTCTTGCTCTTCCAAGTTACCAGATTGCGACCAAGGAAGGTACAATATCCTGTAGTTGATCTTCCTGTCTGACACAAAACTAGCCCAATCAGCACCTGTATACCCTTCTATCTCAAGAGTTCCTCCACTTTTGTATAATAGACCACGACCTAGCAACCTTCGGATACCTAACAATTCTTAGAACTGCTTCCCAATGAGGAATCCTAGGATGTTGCATAAACTGACTCACCATACTTACAGTAAATGAAATATCAGGTCGTGTGCTAGTCAAATAGTTCAATTTTCCCACCAACCTCTTGTACCTTCCAGGATCACCAAACTCTTCACCTGCATCAACACTCAACTTAGCATTTGGTTCCATAGGTGTCTCGACTGGTTTGGCACCTAACAGCCCTATTTCTTCAAGTAGGTCAAGGACATATTTCCTTTAACATAAGTTAATTTCATGCCTTGACCTTACAACTTCTATTCCTAGGAAGTACTTCAGCCTACCCAAATCTTTCGTGTTGAAGTGATCATATAGGAAGTTCTTCAACCTATTAATCCCATTACTATCACTCCCAGTTATGACAATATCGTCCACATACACCACTAGCAAGATTTTCCCATCTTTTGAGACATGGTTGAACATGGAATGATCTACCTGACACTATTTCATCTCAAAGTTCTTCACTACTTCACTAAATCTACCAAACCACGCACGAGGAGATTGTTTTAGCCCATAAATTGCCTTTTTAAGTCTACACGCCTTACCATCCTCCCCCTGAGCAATAAACCCTGGTGGTTGCTCCAATATATACCTCCTCAAGTAGATCACTGTGCAGGAAGGCAATCTTGATGTCAAGTTCCAAGAGAGGCTAGTCATACATTGATGCTAATGAAATCAATACCCGAACTGAGCCAATTTTAGCCACAGGAGAAAATGTCTCCAATATAGTCCACACACAACTAAAAATAGCCCTTGGCCACTAACCTGGCCTTTAATCATTCCACACTGCCATCTAGAAGACACTTCACTGTGTAGACCCACTTACACCCAATAACATGCTTAGCGAAAGGAAGAGTAGTAAGTTCCCACGTGTGATTGTGTTGTAAAGCAGACAATTCCTCTTCTGTTGCTTGTCGCCACCCTGGAGAGGTAAGAGCTTCCTAGACAGTTTTGGGAGTGGAAACAGATGATAGTAAGGATCTAAAATGGCAATGGGAAGCAGAAAGGTGAGCAACAAAAACATAATGAGAAATAGGATGAGATGTACAACTACATTTACCTTTCCGCAATGCAATAGGAAGATCAAGATCCGAAGGAGGAGGTGCAACCATAGGATCTGTCAACGATGACTAAATTGGAGGGGCAGGTGTTAGACAGTGTATGCCCTTAGCTCCAATCAGAATGATGTACCTTATGACATTTAATGTAAATGAATAAAATACATATTTGATTTGTGTTATTATGGTGTTTCTGTGTAATACCCTTAAACTGGACACATATGAGACTCGTGTTAGTTTAGAATGTTCACAGCCGATGGATCGATCTGGGGAGATCTATCCTGATAAGGCTGACACTGATGTGTCGCCAAGTTGGTTGGGGTAGCCTGTCTCAGCTGCCAGGGTGAGACCCGAGGTACATGC